GAAACTGACTATGATGAACCATGCTAGTACAGTAGAATAAGACAGTATTTGGACCCTGAGTGACTAACGTGAGGCTCGGCTTGCCGAGGCCCGAGTCCGCCTGACGGGACTTCACACAGCTACGGGAGCGGAATGAAAACTAAAGGATTATGTGCAGTAAACCTATGTTTTTCTGCAGACACACACCCATGCTCACACCTTTTCCTAAAGACTGAGATTTGCACTGAGCTGCACTTTATAATGTTACTACACTCTTTTGCTGCCAACATGCTACTGACCTGATTAGGTCCCATACATCCATTTTTTATTTGTTCATTGTTTTATATTGAATTACACAATGTCTTAATGTAAATTTGGGTCTGCCGAGCCTGCCCGAAAAAAAATCGTTGTGGTATGCATAATGACAATAAAGATTCTTGACTTGACTCATACTTGAAACTTGTGTCTGTATAACTGTTTTGGTAACATTGTTTACACCCTAGTCTTAGGTGAAGGGTAAATGGAAAGTATAATATATTATCTCTGTATTTGTACTTTAGCTCTGCTTTCTTTCCTCCCAGACTGTTGGCTTTTCCCTCAGACACTACACACACATTCTGTTCCTAAACCCACCTACACACATCTATACACACATACACCCTGTCTCTACTGATTCACATACCCTCTGTTGTCTACACAGCTTGGCCTCTGGCCCAGCTGCTGGGCGCCTGGGAAGGCCACATACCTAAGACACTTCTCTGATTGGGTCTAAGTGGATGACAGCTGACCAGTGTTATAAAAAACCTGACTGTTACTCTTCTTCTTGGTAACTCGCTCTGCAGACTGCAGGACAGTCTGTATGACTGACTGAACCTTCTTGCAAGAAATAAAATGCACAAAGGCAGCTTGGTTGTTCACTCTTTATTTCTCCAGACTCTTTTAAAATTTCCATTAGGGAGCCTCCGAGTCATCTGCACCGCCAGGTCACACTGTTCTCAGCACATCTGGCTGTTTCAGAGAGGTGTGGATTCAGCTTCGGAGGATGGAGCTTTTGGTGCAGTCGAAGTGTAACTTTATTGCATCCTAGAAAGAGGTGTTTGTTATTTACTGTGCCCTCATTGATACAGTACATGAGCAGAGAAACACCTGACAGGCTCCAGAGTGCTGAAACGGTTTGAACACTATGAAGGAGGATTTAGTGCACAACGGTTGAATTGGAGTGACCTGGTTTGAAACAGTATTTGAGGACGCCTTTTACAGTGGAGCATGTAATCTTTGTGTTATTTATCCCTTTTGTCCCCTTGACTCTGGGTAAGTGGACCTGCTGCTGCTGGCTCTAACTGGACATAGACCACACAAGGAAGAACATTTTCAGTGTTGAAGAAATTTTAAAACACTAACTGGAAGGAAACCAAAAGAAAAAACAAAATATGGTATAATACTCTGTTCTAGAAAACGGTGACAAAAGAAAAAATTGACATTTTTTTTAAATGAAAATGAGGCCAATGCTAAACAGAAACAACCTACATGTGACAGGTGGCCAAAGTAAAAAGGACTAATTACTGTTTAAACACATCTGATTCAACAGCAGGCGTCTGTGGAGCCGCTCATTTTATCCTCTGAGCAGTAAACACATCCTCTGTCACAGAGTAACGTCTCTCCAGGAGCTGGTTTACTGCATCTCCTGTTGTACCAATAAAATACATCAGTGCGTGCAGGACTGTGTCAGTGATCAACCGTTACAGGTGAGACTGTGATATCTGCCACGAGACCTGGCAGAGGAGTGTTTGTAGTATTGTCCTGAAGCGTGATAGCATTCCTCCAGTCAGAGCTCTGCGTGTTTGTCATGTGACTGTGGGGGGTGATGGGAAATAATGTATAATCTATCCCGGCAGGTTGTTGTGTTGGTGTGAAGCTGTGGGCTCTGCTATGAGTTGCTGTGAGGACAGAGAGGACGGAGGCCTTCCCTCTGAAACCAGTCTGCATATGGACCATGAGAACCAGAGCACAGCTCAGAGGTGAGATGAGGATCTCCACCTGTCCAGGACTCTTCTCCATGTCAGAGCTCAGCACCAAATATCACTGCAACATCAGCTTTCACACTCACAGCTCTGTGTGTGTTGTGTTCAAGGCTGAAGCACCAGCAGGCACCAGGGACTCCTGGACCTGGACCTGGACCCAGCGGTGTGTCCTTGAAGAGTGACCAGTCAATGGAATATCCTCTTGCTTTCAGAGCACTTGCTGATGGAAGGGAACCATTTAAAACAGACAAAAAGTTAGTTTATTAAAAGACTGATCTGTTTTTCTCCTTTGTGCACATCTGTCAGCTCTGTTTTTGTTTCAGGATCCTGCAGCAGGAACCAGAATCTCCTGCACCCAGCGGTGTGTCCATGAAGAGTGACCAGTCAATGGAATATCCTCTTGCTTTCAGAGCACTTGCTGATGGAAGGGAACCATTTAAAACAGACAAAAAGTTAGTTTATTAAAAGACTGATCTGTTTTTCTCCTTTGTGCACATCTGTCAGCTCTGTTTTTGTTTCAGGATCCTGCAGCAGGAACCAGAATCTCCTGCACCCAGCGGTGTGTCCTTGAAGAGTGACCAGTCAATGGAATATCCTCTTGCTTTCAGAGCACTTGCTGATGGAAGGGAACAATTTAAAACAGACAAAAAGTTAGTTTATTAAAAGACTGATCTGTTTTTCTCCTTTGTGCACATCTGTCAGCTCTGTTTTTGTTTCAGGATCCTGCAGCAGAAACCAAACTCTCCTGCACCCAGCGGCGTGTCCATGAAGAGCGACTGGTCGAGAGACATTAGCATTGATTTTAAAGGACAACCTCCACCTGTTGATCAGATGTAAGTTGTAACTGATAGTGAGAGTCCAGTTATTCAAGGAAATAACACATTTGTACTAGGGGTGGGTCGGTTCACAACATTCACAGTTTGGTTCATGTTACATGATCTGGTTGAAATATGGAGATAACTTGTTACTCTGTCGTGGCAGACATTCACAGTGTTGACCTCGGTTTTGTCATGTGTAAAATGACAGAAATAGTCGTGCGAAGAATGAAAAAAGAGCCGAAAGTTGAATTCAAACCCAACAGACTTTGTCGCCTCCCCACATTTGAGCAGTCACTGAGTGAGGGTGTTTCAGATGCTCACAGTGCTTCAAGGTACCTTGCTCCAGGACACTTCAGCAGTGTTCAGTGAGGGACGGAAAGATGTTTGTCAGAGCTGTTGTTCTAGACAAACCCTGAGCTGAGAGCTCCAAGCAGCTGCAACTGTTGGTTCTCAGTGGGACCAGTAGGACCAGTAAAGCTTTACCACTACAGGGAGTTGTCTGAGTCGCTGTTCACATCCAGACATCACTTACTGGACCTTCACCTTGTGTTGGTCTCTGTGTGCACAGACACAGTGTGAACTAATTCTTCATGGTTCCTCCACAGAGTGGACCAGCAGAGCTCAGAGGGTCCCAGCGGTCTGTCTGCCCAGCAGCATCACACACAGCTGGAATCCATATTTAAGGTCTGTACATGGACAACTACTACTGTCATGCCTGCTCCGTTCACAGTCGTCCCCATGCTGCACTTTGTAGACCAGTGGATTGTCAGTCTGTCCAACAGGGATCTGATGTTTGGCTCCACGGTTTCACTGGGGTCCTGTCATTCACTGAGTTTTCTGTTCCAGCTGCTGGAGGACAACATTGTTACTTTTGTCAAGACGGAGCTGAAGAAGATGCAGAAGGTTCTGAGTCCGGATTACCCAGAAGGCTCAGAGCATCAGAGGGAGGATGAGGTGGTGTTGGATGGTGTAGATGAAGAGCGGAGGAGGAGGATCAGAGATGCACTTCTGGAGATCACGGTGAACTTCCTGAGGGGGATGAAGCAGGAGGAGCTGGCTGACTGTCTGCAGAGCAGTAAGACCTTTTCTGTAAAGACAAGACTGGAAAAAAATTAAAGCTCACATTTTCAAACTGTTGTTCTATAAATACATAAATGTATTTATTCATTGATTATAAAGTGAAATGATGAGAACGAGAAGCAGGAGTATGATGGTTAGGTGAGTTTAAATAGTGTGAGAATGGAAGAGGTGTAGTTTGGATCAGGTCCTGCTCCCGAAGTTCAGATAATTACATTGTTTCCATGTTTTGATATTGTAGATATACGGTAACTTTAGAGGAAATAACTGTATAAACCAGGGCTTCTCAACGTCCGGGCTGCATGGCAGGTAAATGTGGACCCAGCTCACACCTTGTATTAGTAATGCAACAATACAATGTAATGAAGTATATGTTTCCTACTTTGAAGAAAATGTTTTATACACATCAATAAACTGTTAGTTTTGTAGAATATAGTCTATCTGACGATTATTACAGTGATCCTGGCCTGAGAATGAGGCTAAATATAACTGTTTCCCTGTGTGACATCGTTGTCACGACAACGTTAACAGCCGGCGTATGATGCTTTACAGCAACAAGAGCCAGGGCTCAAGTGTCGGCTAGCAGGCCACCAGGTTAGCTAACAGCTAACAGGCGTTCACGTTCTGTTCTTCGGGCGTGAGAAAGGTAGACTTCGGCATCTTCTGTCAGCGTACATTACATCACCAGTGCATTGAGGATATCACTATCCAAATGTGCAAAGAAAATAAAAGTTGACCAAGAAAACTGCATTTTCAAAGACTAGTGGACAGAGAAATACACGTTTATTTTGCCCCAATCCAGCTCGAGGCTCTTGGGTTTGATTTGCACAGAGACTGGGGACAGCAAAACTTGGGCAGTTCAAATCTTCCTATGAATCAACAAACAAGTTGTTTGTGAGATCTGTGGCACAGCAAGAGAGAGCTGCTGCTGAAGCCTCAGACACTCAAACTATGGCATTTTTTCCCACTGGGCTGATTGTGTTTTGTTTCAGACTGCCTTAAACTTGAATGTACACTCACAGGACAATTTATTATGTACATCTGCATAATTGTACACTCTTCAGCGCAACACTTCTGCCCTAACATCTGTGTTTCTGAAGCTCCAGATGTTTGTTTTTGGTGAAATTGTCATAAAGGTATAAGTTCAATTCTATGTTTATTTATTGAGGTTACAGTTAAAGGTGGTGGTGAACTGGATCACATTATATTCAGAGGTGTCTTTATAGTTTTGTCCTGCCCAGCTACATACATGAGAGGGTCAGAATATTAGGAACACCTCTGAATATAATGCAGTCCAATACAACGCCACCTTTTATGGCCTCAACAATAAAAATATATTATGCCTTTATGGCAATTTTACAAAAAACAAACATTTTGGGATTCATAAACAGATGTTAGGGTGGAAGTGTTGCATTGAAAGACTTACGATTGTACAGCTGTACCTAATAAAGTGGCTGAGTGTACGTTGCTTGTAAATTATAAGCAAGTTTAATAAAAGTCATTTGCTTGTCACTAATGGTTCTTGACCTTTGACCTTGAATAGAAATCAGATTCAAACCTTCGAATATTAAGTCTGAGAACCCCTGGTGTGGACATGTCTTCCTGCACGTTACGGTGTCTTGTGCTATGCATTTAAGTAGGAGTCATGTGGAGCTGTCATAACTTCCTGCTACATTTCTTCTGTGTCTGCTACCTTTCTCCTGTTGAAAACAGAGAACAAACCCCAGCAATGTCATAGTGAGGTTTGGTCCTTGAAGCAGTTCATGATTCAGGGAAGTTTATTCCATAGAGCAAGTAAACACTTTTTGGATGTCTTACCTATGATGTGATCAGTACCTTACTTCTTGGGGCAGCTGATCTCATGGCGCCTCCTTACCATGGCTTTGCTGATCATATCCTCAAGTTGTTCCATATGAAATTTGGACACTTTCAAAAACAGAATTTTTAAATGAATGATGAACTCGATGCTCTGCCAGCAATCGGTTGTTCTGTTGACAGTGGCGATTTCTCTTCATTCATTTCCTTGTAGAAGTTCAGACAGATTGATCAGTGTTAACTACTGAACTGTGTGCATCTCCTTAAACTGTATCCATGTGCCATCCCAACCAAATTCGAATAACATATGGTCCACTGCCTCTATTTTAATCATCCACCTTAAGTATGGGTTAATTTAACCCTCCTTCAAACTCAGTAATGTAGGAGTGTGTTTCTTTGAATCTGGGATTTCCTTTTGGGTGCAGGCTTCATTCAGTCATCTTCCTCCAGGCTGTTCCAGCCCATGTTGCCTGCCAGTGTTGACAGTTTTCTCTTGTGCGGTGGTTTTCAGAGGGATCTTTGTTTTTCTTCTTTTTGCTCTTCCATTTAGCTGTTTTCAAGGTCCACAGTATAAAAGGTGGCTGAACTTCCTAGATCCAGGAAAGCATTAAATTCATTACTGTTTAAAAGCTTGACTGCAGCTGGCACAGTTGCTAATGACCCATAAGCCTCATTATGTGCAGATGTGCTTCAAAATTAGATAATTTTGAAGCACATTTTACATCAGGGGCATTTTACATACCGCCCATTCCTCGCCTCCTTTTGGCTACTGTTCACAACACTGATTTTATTTATTGTGCTCATTCAGAATCCCCCACCATGTGCCAGCACCAACTCAAGTCCAACCTGAAGGAGAAGTTCCAGTGTGTGTTTGAGGGGATTGCTAAAGCAGGAAACCCAACCCTTCTGAATCAGATCTACACAGAGCTCTACATCACAGAGGGAGGGGCTGGAGGGGTCAGTGATGAACATGAGGTCAGACAGATGGAAACAGCATCCAGGAAACCAGTCAGACCAGAAACAACCATCAGACAGGAAGACATCTTTAAACCCCCACCTGGAAGAGATGGACCAATCAGAATAGTGATGACAAAGGGAGTGGCTGGCATTGGGAAAACAGTATTAACCCAGAAGTTCACCCTGGACTGGGCTGAAGGCAAAGCCAACCACGACATCCACTTCACATTTCCATTCACTTTCAGAGAGCTGAATGTGCTGAGAGAGAAAAAGTTCAGCCTGGTGGAACTGGTTCATCATTTCTTTACTGAAACCAGAGGAATCTGCAGCTTTGAAAATTTCCAGGTCGTCTATGTCACAGAGTCTGCCTCAGTGGGTGTGCTGCTGACAAACCTCATCAGGGGGAACTTGCTTCCCTCTGCTCGCCTCTGGATAACCACAAGACCTGCAGTAGCCAATCAGATCCCTCCTGAGTGTGTGGACATGGCGACAGAGGTCAGAGGATTCACTGACCCACAAAAGGAGGTGTACTTCAGGAAGAGGTTCAAAGATGTCTGGCGGGCTAGCCAGATCATCTCCCACATCAAGAGCTCCCGAAGCCTCCACATCATGTGCCACATTCCAGTTTTCTGCTGGATCACTGCTACAGTTCTGGAGGCTGTGTTGCAAACAGGAGGGGGAGGAGAGTTGCCCAAGACCTTGACTGAGATGTACATCCACTTCCTGGTGGTTCAGCTAAAACGGGGCAATGCCAAGTATTATGGAACGTCTGAGACAGATTCACACTGGAGTCAAGAGAACATGAAGATGATTAAGTCTCTGGGAAAACTGGCTTTTGAGCAGCTGCAGAAAGGCAACCTGATCTTCTATGAGTCAGACCTGACAGAGTGTGGCATTGATATCACAGCAGCCTCCGTGTACTCAGGAGTGTTCACACAGATCTTTATAGAGGAGAGAGGGATGTACCAGGACCGGGTGTTCTGCTTCGTCCATCTGACTGTTCAGGAGTTTCTGGCTGCTCTTCATGCCCATCTGACCTTCACTTCATCTAGAGTCAATCTGCTGGCAGAAGAACAAACAACCTCCCAGGTGTCTGGAACAAGAGAAGGCAAATCTGCAGAGACACTCTTCTACCAGACAGCTGTGGACAAGGCGCTAGAGAGTCCAAATGGACACCTGGACTTGTTCCTCCGCTTCCTCCTGGGCCTTTCAATGCAGACTAATCAGACTCTCCTACAAGGCCTGCTGACACAGACAGGAAGTGGCTCACAGACTAATCAGGAAACAGTCGAGTACATCAAGAAGAAGATCAGTGAGGAACGGTCTCCAGAGAGAAGCATCAACCTGTTCCACTGTCTGAATGAACTGAATGACCGTTCTCTAGAGGAGGAGATCCAAAAGTTCCTGAAATCAGGAAGCCTCTCCACAGATAAACTGTCTCCTGCCCAGTGGTCGGCTCTGGTCTTCATCTTACTGTCATCATCAGACAAAGAGCTGGATGTGTTTGACCTGAAGAAATACTCTGCTTCAGAGGAGGCTCTTCTGAGGCTGCTGCCTGTGGTCAAAGCCTCCAACAAAGCTCTGTACGTACATGGGTAGTTGGATTTATTGTTCATCATAGAAGTTGCAACTGTCTTTTCAAATGGCTAAAAAATAAATAATTCATGACATGTTTTTATTTTCCCTATTTTTTTCCCCTCTCCAGACTGAGCAGCTGTAACCTGTCAGAGAGAAGCTGTGAAGCTCTGGCCTCAATTCTTGGCTCCCAGTCCTCTAGTCTGAGAGACCTGGACTTGAGTAACAATGACCTGTTGGACTCTGGAGTGAAGCTGGTCTCTGCTGGACTGGGGAATCCAGACTGTAAACTGGAGACTCTCAGGTCAGAATTTATCAGTATATTCATATGATCACTATTTACAGTACAACCTATATTAAAGGTCACAAAATATGATTATTTTTTGATTAGTTTTATGTTGTTAATTTAAGTTTCTACTAGAAAACATTTACACCTTTGTATGCTCAAAGTTCATTAGTTTCCTCAGAGCACCAGTAGCGCCAGACCCTCTGTGTGAACACACTTTGTTTTAGCTCCTGGCCCCCTCCTAAAAATCCAGTCTGCTCCCACAGCGCTCAACAGGAACCACCTACCAACGCCAAGCCGTGTTTCCAGATCCTGGACAGCTTTGGTTTTTTAGCATTAGCTCTGCTAATGTTGTCTGCATGATTATTCATGCTTTTGTTTCTTCACGCATTGACTATTGCAACTCTCTTTTTACCTGTTGTAATAAGTCCACTTTAAATCGTCTTCAGATGGTCCAGAATGCAGCTGCGAGGCTCCTGACAGGAACCTCTAGAACAGCTCATATCACCCCAGTTTTGTATTCGCTCCACTGGTTACCAGTCAAAGCTGGAATCGATTTTAAAATCTTAGTGCTGACATTTAGAGCACTACATGGGCAGGTGCCTCAGTACATTATTGATCTGCTGACCCCATACTCACCCAAACATACTCTCCGGTCTGCAAACCAACCTCTTTTGGTGGTCCCCAAAACTCGTTTTAAATCTCGGGGGGACCTGTCTTTTCAGGTCGTAGCTCCAAGACTGTGGAATGCCCTACCCTTGACTCTACGTATGGCCGAATCTGTTGATGATTTTAAAAAACAGCTGAAGTCACATTTATTTAGACAGTTTTTTAATTGATTGGGTTTATTCATTTTATATTGTGAGTACTTTTTATGTTCATTATTTATCTCTTTTTATCCTTTGACTTTGTAAAGCACCTTGTGACTCTGTCTGTGAAAGGTGCTATATAAATAAAATTTACTTACTTACTTACTTACTTTAGCTAATTTTCTGCCATAAATTTCACCATAATAACCACTTCTAATCCAAAAACTAAACAACCACAGATGTTCAAGCAGGAGCCTCCTACTGTCACATCACTCTTGTTGTCACACCTGGGCAGTGTTGTTGAATAGAGAAACACCAGTAACCTAGACTCACTGTATCTCGGACATCACGGTATTGCAGACACTTGACCTTTTGACGCAATTTATAAACTAAATATTTCCAGACCACAAACCAAATATATATGTGTCTTCATTGTTCTGTCTTTTTTCTCTTCTGAACATCCAAGAGGCATGGTCATCATGAAACAGGACACAGAAGTCACTGTAGCCCATTGCACTTCCACAGCAGGGCAGCAGTTAGCTAGCTACATAAGTGATCACAGCACAACGGAGCAGTCCTGGCCCCAGACAAAGGCTTTGCAAGCCATTTTTGTCAGTGTTGTGTTGAAGCATTTTTCCTCATCAAGCTGTTTCCCCTTAGTAACTTAACGTGAGTCTGGCCTTTTGCTAGCCCTGACCGCTGATGGGGGTTGTGCTGATGGAAGCTGTTTTAACTGGGAGAACATCTCAGCAGGGGAAAACTAGTGATGTTCAAATGAAGCAATGGACCAGTATCGAACCACTTCATCAATTTTATCGAACATGGGTTCATTCATTCAAAGGTTTGTTTCAGTGACATCTAGTGGTGAAATAGGAGACAGCAAAACAATGTCTGAATAATGTGATGGGTGTAACTAGGCTTTGTGTGAATAATGTAAACACACTTTTGTAAAGATTGATTGATCGGTTGGTTGATTCTATAAACATACTGTATGTAGTGTAGTAGGTGGGAGAAGGTCTGCTTGGGGAAACTGAGGATGCGCTAGGATGGTAGGGTGTGCTTATGTAACTAGCACAGGGTGTGATTATGTACATGGGATGGAGATTCAAAGATTTTTATTGAGAAACTATTTTTTCCACTGTTTTTGGACTGAGCCCGTGTCTTTTCTTGCTGACAACTTCTCCAGCTTTCGAAAACACATTCACATGGCACTGATGAGGCTGGCGAAAAGAAACGTGGGTAAACATTTTTGTGCCTGTTCCAGTAGGTCAGAGGATCTTCACATCTTTCCAAGGGACGATCTGTCATGTGTATAGCGCGCTATAAGGTCTCGCGTTACGAAGCAGTATGGACTGTTTGAACCAGTCACTTCATTCAGTCAGAGGTCCGAAGCCGTTTCTGCTTTGGACGTCATCGGTCACGTGTCTTCTTCCACAGGAAAGCAAGCTTCGAAGCAGTGGTCCAAGGAAAATGCCTCTTCGAGTTTGAAGCTTGTATCTAGGGATGGACGATACCGGCGTTTTTCCTATCGATACAATACCATTAGTTTATGGTACTTTTTCCATCGATACCAATACTCTTTGCACCTTAAAGGAAAATTACTTCCATTAATAACATTCTAGAAACAAAATTTTTTGTCGCTATTTTCTCATACATACAGTACAAGCATATGAACCTTTACATTTGTCAACTAAATGAAAGAGTGGGGAACATGGCTTCATCAAAGATTCATGTAGCCCAGTTGCATACAGTGCGTACGGAAAATATTCAGACCCCCTTAAATTTTTTCACTCTTTGTTATATTGCAGCCATATGCTAAAATCATTTCAGTTCATTTTTTTCCTCATTAATGTACACACAGCACCCCATATTGACAGAAAAACACAGAATTTTTGACATTTTTGCAGATTTATTAAAAAAGAAAAACTGAAATATCACATGGTCATAAGTATTCAGACCCTTTGCTCAGTATTTAGTAGAAGC